AGCGTCCCCCAGCCGCGTCTTCTCCATGGACATCCTCATCGGAAGCAATCCCTGCGAGCAGAGTACGAGTTAGAAATAAATCGGATTGAAATTTCAATACGGCCAGTTTACCTTGCTCAGATGCTGAAACGACGTAGCCAGCAGGTCGTCGCCCGTATCGGCAAATTCGTTGTATGACTCCGATAGCTCGCAATCGAGCAGGCCATAAACGATCGGCTGTAGGTACTCGGCAGACTCCCCAACGAATCTAGGACGGTGCGTCCTTTGCCTTGTCGCTTGCACCTGCCTCGCTCACGGCTCCTTGCCCGACCTCCGGATCCCTGGCGCGACCTCAGAGCTCTCCCTCTGATTCGTCTCCGACTCGTCAGGCTGAATCTGCTTTCTCTTCTTTGACCTCTGGGCCGAGCCTTCCGCTTGGGGCGAGCATCGCGCCTGAGCGCCTGTTCCTTCCTGGTTGCCCCTTGCGCAGCAGGGCGGGGCTGGGAAGCTGGGACTGTTCGCACCGGCTGTGCCGGGATAGGACGAGCAGCATCAGCCTCCCTCTCGATCCTCGATCGGGAAAGACAAACGTGTCTCGGCGGGACTGCCCGGACTCCTTTGGGGGCATCGTTTCTGCATTCAAGGTCGTTAGTAAACGAATCATTCTACGACCAAAGGGAACCAAGTGTAACTTACCTTCCGGAGGTTCTAAGGACGCCTGGTCGCTGAAACAACCGTACTTCCGCAAGTTCGCGGTGGTCACAAGCTTCCTCGCGTCGCGACTATCCTCGTCCAGTACTCCGAAGGATACAAGCCTGTCCGGATCAGCAGTAGCGACTGCTCGTCGTTCTATTAACTTCAACTTCAAACAAAGCAGGTCGTTATTATGGATCGGCGAGCAGATCATGAACTCAGCAGAAAACCTACCTGGATCTTGAAAACGGCAATAGCCGTTGTAAAAAAAGAAGAACTTTGTCCGTGGCTCCCGCATTGCTGGGTAGCTGTGTATCCCCGCGGCAATGGTAGGTCCCCGAGACAGGTAGTACGAGTCCTTGTCCCTACTCTTCTTAAGGTAGTAGGCACACCGCCTCCATCGCCGTCAGCTTTCCCAAGCCGCTCTTGCAGCACGCGATGTACATCGCGACAACGATGACATACGCGTTTGGCGTCAATTGCATCGGAGCGATCCTGAAATGATCCAGACCGACCGATGAAAGGATGGAAGGAATCCTCCCTCCACCCTTGAAGATCTCCTCAGAGATCGCGGCAAGGCCATCGCGGGCGCCGTGACGATCTGGTGTGGTCGAGAGCACCTCCGCGCGAATATCGTACTGCGTCTTTATTCTATTAAATTCCTCGGAAGTGATAACCGAGTAGACCTCGAGGGCTGCGTCCTCGGGGACTTCCCGCGAGGACGAGCTGGCTCCTTCCTCGGTCTGGATGTTGACGGTTCCATTCCAGTCTGCAACATCGACAGACACGGTCATTAGGGCCTTCGTGTTCGTCCCATGTAATGACAAGGACACCTTAAAATCTAAAATGACTCGAGCCGCCATCCACGGCTCGAATCCAATGGCGGCGTCGCGTCTCCGGTGAAACGCCGGGAGACCCAACGCCACTATTCAACCAAACCAGTGCAAAAAAAAAATATATATATATATATAATAAAGGAAAAGAAAAACCTTACTCTCTGAGATGCGAAGCTGATGCCGAAACTCGTTTCGATTGCCTGAAAAACGCCGATCGGAAGAAAACTGTTCCTGGTGTGTAAAGGTTTTGCACTTGAAGCGAAAGAAATTTCGGTGACCTCATCAAAAAAAATGCAAGTTTTTATATGAGGGTTGCGAATCGCCGGTTACCACCCCTTGGAACTGAAACACACCACTCTCTCTCCCCGCATTAAATGCGCCCCACTCGCATTAAATGACGTGATAATGGTCGTCGTTTCTTTACGCTGCGCCACTAACGCTGCCAAACGGTGCCAGCTCAGCACGCGAGGCATTTAATGTGCCTGACAAGCTTTAACGCGCGCAGAACGCATGACAGCATGAAACCAGGTTCATCGAATCTGTACAGAGGACGCCGCCCTCAGATCCAGGTCGCTAAGGTGGAGATTGTCAGGTCGCTCTGACGGGGAACAGCGCGAGATCGTGTTCGCCAGAGTTCTGTGCCGAGCTCATACCGTTGGTCGGAGCGACCAAAAACTCCGACTAACTTAGTTTCCAAGGTCCACCCTCGAACCTTAAAAACTAGGGGCTTCTGTTATGCCCGGGAAATGAGGGGCTGACGTGGGAAAGTCACGTGAAGGTGACCTGCTCCCGTCAGAGCAACGCGCACACGTCAGACCTGCCAAGTGATATGGAGCTCACATGCGTCCATTTCCCTGCAATAAGTCGTGCGTTGTCAGCTTGGGAAAAGGAAAATGAGACGTAAAGCCGATTACATCCTGACAATCACACCAAACCATGGATTTGGTGATGATATACACTTTAGTTTGATATAAAACGAAGAAGACCCCATCATTAGGGGGATTCCCATTTTCATACAAAGAAATCTCTCTCCTGTAATCATTTTTTGACTTTTTCAACTTATGTAATCGCTCGCAACCGCGACCTGACCCACACTAATCAATACAAATCAGTGGACGTAGGACTTGCTACCTTAGCATCCGAACCACTTAAAAAACTCCTTTTGCATTTATTTCGCTTTACATATTCCATTTTCACGGGTATTAACGGTCATCAACGTTACACACGTGAAAATTCGTTGGTGCTTGAACTGAGCATCAACATACATAAATGTTTAATAACATAAGTAACGAGATGCCATCGTTGTAAAGATGAAATATCTTTAACAATTTAACTTAAAATATCATTTCCTACTTTAAAATTACCATTTGTCTAAAAAAAATTTCCTGCTCTTTCTAATGTTTCTTTCTTCCTTCGTTCTTCTTCCTTTTCTCTTCTTTCTTTCCTTTCCTTCTTCTCTTCTTTTTCCTCTCTCAATTGCACCAGGTGCGATTCCGGTTGAATCGCACTAAATTCTCCACCCCCATTCTTTCCTTTTTTGCCACTCGGTTTTGATTATCACAATATTTTTCAGAAAATTCTCTTAGATATTCTTGGTCTCTAATAGCTTGTGATTTTTTTTTTTTTTTCGAAAATTTTAATTCTAATTCTTACTAGAAGGGAATTCTTTCATTTCGAAATCCGAATATTTCATTATTTGAATTTGAATCTTTTGGGCGCTTGCTGGGGGACTGTTTGGGCAGAAAGAAGGTTGGTAGTAGTGCCAGGGGGTGTGTTGGGATGTGGGGTCATGGGAGGTGGTTTTTGTGGTGATTGATGGGTGCATGGTGGCTGTGCACATGAGGGTAATGTGCGCTCACAGAGGCTTTTTGTTGGGCCAATAGGTCGAATAGATGGTGGCTTGGATGGAGCAGCAAGGTTGGAGAGATGGGGGAACGGCCGACGACCAAAAAAATTAACAAAATAGCAACACAAACACTTCAACAGCAAACCATAGTTCAACATAAGAAAAAAACCAACGTTGTGTAGGGATTGGGTCGTAAAAGCGATTGTCTTGCGACGGCGAGTGCAAGTCACAACGGCAAACGGCATGGGGAGGCTAGTAGAGGGTGGGGTTTGGAATGTGAGGAAGTGGATTCGTATGGTGGGGATAGGGGTGATTTCCGATGTCTAAAACAACAGAATTGGTTGTGAAACAATGATTTTCGCGCGAAGATGCAGTGGCCGTTTGTTGGCGATTGGAGAGAAACGTGGCCAATATTTTTTCTAGCCTTTCAGTTTTCAGAAATTTAAGATAATAATAAATTAGGAAAGAAGGCATAACCTTTGAATTTTAGTTTCGATTTGGATGCATATGTTAATTGATCTTTACTTATATGGACTTTTGGCCATCTTACCTCTTTCTATAACAAAATACTAACAAGATAGACATTAAATATTCCCCAAAATTATGGGGACTCGTCCCGCCCCGCCCTGCCCCATATGGGAGGGGAAGCCCCCGTTTTTTCGGGGATAGGGGCAAGTGTGGGGGTTTTTAATTCCCGTCCCTAGGATGGGGCGAGGGGGGTGATGTCTTTCCCTCACCTTGTATTTAATATAAAATTAAAAATTAATATATATATATATACTCTTAATTTATTAATATTTCTATATTTCATCTAATTACATAATTATCAAACCTAATAAACTCATATTTTTCTAATTTCCCTCATCCTAAACAATTGAACAAGAATAATCCAAATTATCTATGTTTAAACGATTAATTTAAGTGTTTGTCGTGGATGAAATTAACTATTATTTTTATATATGCTCAATTTAGTTTAGGTTTATGTAAAATTAACAAGGGCCGGACGACCCTCCAACATTCTTCTATGGCAGGGAAGGAAATTTTTGTCATCCCCGATACAGGGATGGGGCGGAAGTGGAGAGTGATTTTGAGCGGGGATGATACGGTGAATGAGATCCCCGCCCCCCCCCACCCCATTACCATGCCTACAACAGATTTGTGTTGAAGTATAAGTGTCGTTTTAAAACTTTTTGGGTGTCATTTTGCCAAACCTTGAGTGGGAAAAAGTGTTTACTCTATACATACTACACAGAAACGACAAAAATAAATAATATAATACACCAATTTTCCAAATGTTTTTTTTTTTTTCTTCTTCGTCGAAAGATTAGAGATATTACGTGGAAAAAAATAAAATTCTAAACAAATTAAACGAAATACAAAATTAAAAATGACACGTGGCAGATTCTGAAAGCGAGTAAAGAAATTGACAGACAAACACTCTTCTTGTCTTCGGTTTAATCGACCTAAACGCTGGACTAGCGGCTGCTTCATCATCTTCTTCTTCCTCATTATCCAACTCCCTCACATAAACAAACAATACAAAAAACCCTTTTGACGGATCTCTCTAAAGCTCAAGCTTCCAAATTTTCTTCATTTTTTGTTCTTTTAGACCCCTCTACTTTTCATTTTATTCATTTCACACCCAAATGGCTTCTCCTCCTCCTCTCTCTCTGCTTCTGCTTCTTCTTTCTCTGCTCTCCAAACCCCCCTCCGCTTTCCTCCATTATCACCATTCCGCAACTCTCTCTTTCCCCTTCTCCGCTAAGCCCACCTGGCTCAGGCTCAGGCTCTCCAACAAGGGGAAAATTCTCTTAGCCCATGTTAAAATTTTTACTTTTTTTTTTTTTTTTTTTTTTTTTTTTTTTAATTATTGGAATTTGTTTTATTATACTGAGTAGTGACTTGAGAATTCATGTTGCTGAGGACTTGATTGAAACAAATGGGTTTAGTTCGCTTTATTAGTTTCACTGTTTGCTTAAGATTTATTTATTTATTATTATTATATTTTTTAAGTTGATGAATTTGTGAGTGATAATTTAGATTGCATAGAAAATTAGAGTGATTAAGGGAGTATTTTAGAAGTGATTTTGTAGGCAGTACTTTACAGTGAAACTGCAAAAGCACATCAAAGGGTTTTTATTTTTTTTTTTAAATTAAAAAGCATTTGTCAAATGCTCTTCGAGAAGTACTTCTAATTCTTTTCTTACTTAGTAATGGGTTGAATTGGATTTATTTTAAATTATGCTTAGAGTTTTTTATTTTGTTTGTCTAATCTTTATTATTTTTTTCTTGTTTTGCAAATTTTGTTTTTGTTTGAGTTAGTTGTGGTAATTAAGGAATTTTTTTTTTTTTTTTTTTTTTTGATTAGTATTATATGGTGCACAGAATGATGAGGGGTGTTTTGAGGGCGATTTTGTGGAAATCACTTTTAAATAGAGTGGGTTTGGCAAAGCATCTGAAACTGTTTTTGGAAAAGAAGTTATTAAATGCTACTTCGAGAGGAAGTTCTTTTCTTGCTTAAAAGCGTTTCTTTTTTAAACATATATTAATTGCATCAGTATTCAGTAGAAAGCAGAGCCTATCATATCTGATTCCATGAGCTACTTTTGTTTAATTTAAGTGCTTTTCTGAAAAGCACTTGTGACTATCGGAAAGTGCTTTTGATTAAGGGCCTTTTTTGGAGTGTCTTTTGGATATTGCTTTTGAGTTAACTGGATTCGTCAAAAGCATCTGAAACTGCTTTTCTGGAAAGAAGATATCAGTTGCTTCTTGGAGAAGACATCCAGTTCTTTTCTTACCCAAAAGCGTTTTCTTGAGAAGCACATATCGGTTGCTTTTCTAGAAAGCCATACAAGCACTTTTCTGCTTCCAAAAACTTTTATTTTTTGTTTTAACTGAGCATTACAAAATAGAAGCAGGAGCCCTTGTGACCATATGAAAACGTTTTGATGATGATGCCAAAGGCATTCTCAACTTCATTAGAAGTGTTTACGGGTTAAACAGTTTTCACAAAAGCATTCCAAAGTGATTTTGGAGAAAATATTCGTCAAGTGCTTCACTAGGCAACACTTTAAGTCACTTTAATTGTTTTCTTACCAAATAATGTTGATGGTATCAGAATTTGGAAAATGTTTTTGCTTTCTTAACGTGTATGAAGATCACTAAAACGTTGCATTTAATTATCCTTTTCTCTTTCCTGGACAAACGGATTTATTTTCAATTTATATGTATCAAAAGGAAAACTCAGTGAAATGTTTTGCAACAGAATACACTAGAAATGGTCTAGTCTTGACGATTAGGTGCTAAAACTGCGCAATAGATGGATCCCAAATTGCTCAAGTAGGATTTTGCAAATAGCTGTCGAGACACTGTTATCTGCATTCCGATTAGTTAAAAGAAAGATTTCCTGAAGCTTTGATAGATGAGCATGCTCTCGGCTTCTTCTCTCTCTCTCTCTCTCGCTAAATGGAGCTCAAATGTAAATTTTAAGTTAAAACTTTTTTTTTCCCCTTTTCCCAAATATCTAAAAATCCTCTAGCCTCTGTTGCGTGTGACATCAAATTCTAACTTAGGTATTGCAGCTGCTTACTACTTCCTCGAGTAGTAAAAAAAAAAAAAAAAAAAAGTAGTGAGAATTTGCTTTTCTTATTTTTTATTTATTTATTTTTGGGATTCCCTACTGAAATTTGTAAAGCGAGCTGATTTTTTTTTCTCTTATCTTAGTTAATTCATTTGTCTCTTCTTTGCATACGTAATAATCTATGACTGTAATTGCTGTATAGGGTACTCCGAAATATTCAACTGTGGCCAAAGGCCAATTGAATGAGGTAAGTTTCTTTGAATCATTTTCATTAGAGGATCTGTTTTCAAATTTTCGTTCCTTCCTGGACACGCTTTTGGGATCACCTGTTGCCTTCAAGGTTGCTGTTGCGGGATCATCAAATGTTCCAGTCACATCTTCAACTGAATCAGAAGTGCCAGGAGCAGAAGCAAAAGATGCTAAGCCATCAAAAGAGCCTTCTCCAGCAACTTTGGCTACAGAGGAATCGATTTCAGAGTTTATCAATCAAGTTTCAAGTCTTGTTAAGTGAGGAAGCTCGATGTTTGCTTCTTTGTAAAATCCTTGTATATTTTGATCATGATCTGGAAAAGAATTGTTACTTTCTACATTTTCAGGCTTGTTGATTCAAGAGATATAGTGGAATTGCAATTGAAACAGCTCGACTGTGAACTAATTATCCGGAAAAAAGAGGCCTTGCTGCAACCTCCATCACCTGCTCCCACTGTTATGATGCATGCACCCACTCCACCACCTGTTATGCCAACGGGCCCACCTGCACCTGCCCCTACACCTTCTGCATCTGCTCCATCTCCGACTCCATCCTCATCACCTGCTCCTGCTGCCAAATCGGCTAAGTCTTCACTCCCATCTCTTAAATGTCCAATGGCAGGTACATTCTACCGGAGTCCGGCACCTGGTGAACCACCATTTGTAAAGGTGAATTATTCACGCTTAATGATGATTTCTTTATCTATAGGATATCATCTTTACTGCTGCACAAGTTTTCCTTTTTGCTGACATGAGAAGTTTCTCTACAGGTTGGAGACAAAGTACAGAAGGGACAGGTCTTATGCATCATCGAGGCCATGAAGTTGATGAATGAAATAGAAGTAAGTTTCATGTCACTTCTACATTTAAATTTTATACAAGACTCGCTGCTGGGTTTACTTTTCAGTAAAGTGAATTTTTGTTTCCTTCACATGGTGTTTGTATTTTGTTTTCACATATGGTTTGCTAGTGTTGAATTTCTACTTCCCTTACTACATGATAAAGTTGACTCAGTTTAGATTAGGAATATGCACGGCTCACCCTTATCCATTCTATTTTGAATGACCAACCTATATGTTCTATTCCATGCAAAATTTTATGAGGATTTAACCGTAGCCGCAAAGCCATGTCATGGTCGAGCTAAATGTTGAATGCATGAACGCCTCTTTACTAGTAATATTGGTCTTTGCGTTATTTGCAATTATTTTTTATGTTGCCTCCTCATTGTAGATCTTTTTCATGGATGTTCCAGGGTCCAAATTGGATATGCTTTTAGTAAATTTGAATTGTGTTTACCTAATTGAACTTGAATCTCTTTAAGTTCTCGTATGAATATGTTTTCTCATTTGTGAATAGTACACAACTCAAATTGGCATGGTGTCTATCTTTTGTTATTATCCTCTGCAATTTCCATTTGGGTAAACAACTTCGCTTAGCTAAATTAGTAAGAATAAGGTGAAGTACTCTAACTCAACATTAACATATTCATCATGCTTGTGGATTTTACTAGCCAACGCTCGCTCTCCTACTGTGACAATGTTTCAATTTTAATCTTTTTCTTTGGTTTCTCCCGCTGTTCTATGTCTTCTTCTCAAACAGTTAGAAAAGATAGCCCTTTTGTAGTTTATTATATCTATTATCTAAAATGCTTTTCTTTCTTCAGGCTGATCAATCGGGAACCATAGTTGAGGTCGTTGCAGAAGACGGAAAGTCAGTCAGCATTGATACAGTGAGTTTCCTTACCCAACTTACATTGTGTTGATTTGTTATAAAAAACTTTTGACATGATAATGATTCGTGGAATTTTTCTCTTTGCAGCCTCTGTTCGTGATTGAACCCTAGAGTTATCAAGTAGGCAAGTAAATGAATCGAGTAAAGACTAGAGGACATGCTCAGTTTCCGGTAATGCTTGTCAGTCACGGCGTTGTTTTATTATGATAGAATGTTTTGTTTTGATGAGTTGATATGTAGAGTGAGAATGAATGTTTTTTTTTTTTTTTTTTTCGGGAGTATCTTTAGAACAATCTGATAAACTTAAAATATATTTTAAATGTAGATGAGGTTTGATTATGATGTTCAGAAAACTTGCCAATGTTGTTCATCCTTGTAAATGCTGGATTTTTATTGCNCAATGTGTGCCCAACAAATTTCAATACTATTATTATGTACTTTCAATATTGAAAAAGTATTTGGTGAGACGGATATACCATGTCATCGACACCTTTGATAAAATCTTATTGGTGTTTTATGTAGATTGTTAGGTGGAGGAAATAGAAATAGAAATAGAAAGTAAGTGTATATGCTCATCCAATTGGATAGACCTTGTCATTTACATTTTTAACAAAATTGATCAATGGAGATGGTGTGTAAGTTGAAGAAAGAGGAAAATGTGATTAAATTTGGTCACAGAGACTCATAAATGACTACCTTATGAAATTGTATTATTGAAAAAAACTGATGGGCCTGCTTGATTCATTATTTTTGTCATATCTTATTCCTATTCAAAATACATATTTGTTTTTCTATTCTCAAAATCAAATCTTATTATGTTCAACTATTTTTAATCTCTCTAAGTTTGTTAATTTAACTGAACACTCCAACAAAAATGTTTATAGATTAACAAAAACATCTTCATCCACCTGCATTTGTCAAATTTTGGTCATCACTATCGGAAGGTGGTTGGAATCTGACATAATGGTGCACTATCGGTTAGATTTAGTTGGTAGTGAGTCGATCTAGCATTTTTTGATCAGATTTACAATGAATCTGATCGAAAAAGGTTAGATCTAAGGCCAAAGATCTGGCTGTTAACGGTTAGGTCTTTAGCCAGATCTGGTTGTCAACAATAGCCATATCTTTGGCCATCGTTGACGACTAGATCTAGCTGTGAACAACTAAATATGGCTGTTTCCAGTCACATCCATCGTAGATCTGATCGAAAAATGTCATATTATTACACGACCGGTCAGATCCAACCGGTCATACATCATTATGCCAGATTCTGGTAACCTTCTGACAATGGTAGTCGGAATCTGGCAAATGTGGGTGAATGGGTGAGAGTATTTTCATCAATTTATAAACTTTTTATTGTAGTGTGTGTTTAACTAAATTAACAAACCTATGAAATATTTTTGTTAATTTTCAAATTCTTACTCGTAATAACAATCCAACTTAATTTTTTCAAAAATACTACTCAATGATAAAATAAACACAGTCGATATCTTTGTCTTCATAAATATATCTATTCAATAATATATCATTGGTGATCCAAAGAGAACAAAAAATAAATAAGTACATAAATGTTTAATAACATAAGTAACGAGATGTCATCGTTGTAAAGATGAAAATATCTTTAACAATTTAACTTAAAAATATCATTTCCTACCTTAAAATTACCAATTTGTCTTAAAAAAATTTCCTGCTCTTTCTAATGTTTCTCTTTCCTTCGTTCTTCTTCCTTTTTCTCTTCTTTCTTTTCCTTTCCTTCTCTTCTTCTTTTTCCTCTCTCAATTGCACCAGGTGCGATTACGGTTGAATCGCACTAAATTCTCCACCCCCATTCTTTCCTTTTTTGCCACTCGGTTTTGATTATCACAATATTTTTCAGAAAATTCTCTTAGATATTCTTGGTCTCTAGATAGCTTGTGATTTTTTTTTTTNAAATATTTGTCAACCTATCTTTATTTTTATTTTTTTTAATTTATTTTGCATGGAAATTCATTGAGACATTTAGATTTGAATGTGTTTGTATGTATTTATTTTTTAAATCAATAAATTAAGCAGACCGTTCTCAACCCTAGTATGAGCGAGATTTGATCTCAAGATCTCTTATAACCTTAAAAGATTCAATGAGCGTGAGTTAATGTTTGATTCTATGTTTGTCATTGACCTCTCTCGTATGTTTTTTCTTTTTTTCTTTGAAGATTTTTTTTTCTTCGACGAAATTTTAATAATTAATAGATTTACATATATTTAACCGTTAAGAGGAGAGGGGAAGAAATTAAATGGTGTTTCATATGAAATTCCTTCTTCCTCATAATCTTCAAGCACTGAATTATATGATCAACATTAGAGTTTAAGATAGTTTAGGCTCCGTTTGTTTAGGCTGTGTTTGTTTCCCTATTCAAAATACTATGCTATCTAGTCTTATTTAAAATACATATTTGTTTCAATATTCTTCAAAATCTAATTCTATTCTATTCAACTCAAAATATTTAGATTTTTTTAACCCCGTAGATTTGTTAATTTAACTAAACATCTCTAACAATAAAAGTTTATAAATTAACAAAAACACTCTTATCCACTCACATATTCCCTACAGTTGGCCACCATCACAGCATTAGTTTTTTAGAATAGTATTCTATTTTGATTATGATTTTTGGAAAATAAGATAGGATTCTGAGAATATTTTTGGTATATTTTTGGAAAATATTTTTTGAAAATATTTAGATTATCTTTTAACCTTCTAAGTTTGTAAACTGTTGGGGGTGTATTATTTCCACCACTTTAGGAATCGGAAACAGGACCTGGAACTGAGGTCTGGGTACCAAAGGTGGAACCGACAGGTATTTGTATTTGGGATGTATTTATAATTTTTGTAAACTATTGGGGGTGTATAATTTTTACAAAGTATATTTGTTATTTTTGTGAATAGTAGGGGTATTCGTAGTTTTCTTGGATACTCGAAATCAAAACCTGATTTTCAAATCAGGTTTTGGTTCCAACTATCGAGGAATTAAAACCTGATTTTCAAATCAGGTTCCGATTCCAACTATTGTGGAATCGGAATCGGTTGGTTCCGATTCCAATTCCAAATTCCAGGAATCGACCGATTTCGGTTTCTTGGAAAAAGGGCAGGAACCCGGACCCGATCACCTCTAGACAGTAGGTGGGAAAATATTATTTCATAAGTCATATAGTAAAAAAGGTAAATTGTGTTATTCAATGATAACTTAGGGATGACTTTGTAATTAACTCTTCCTTTTTCCAATTTGTTTTTCCTATCAACCAGGAGAGCCACACCCATGGTCCACAGGCCTACAACGAAGAGGAATTGAAGAAGGCAGAGAAATTTTTGCAATCTTCTGTATAAATTAAAATGAACCTATTCTTGCATTTTCAACAAAAATGATGATCAATCAAATACATCTCTTCACAACCCTTCTAGCTTTTCTTTTTCTGTTGAACAAACCTTGTAATGTATTAGCAAATGAAAACATAATCGCCGAAACTTGTAAACTCACTCAGTTTCCTCAAGAATGCATATCAAATTTAGGGTCAGATCCTCGCAGTTCCAGTGCAGATCTCACAGGCCTTTCCAAGATCGCCTATCAATTATCAGCGACCAAAGTGAATGAGACTATGTTATTGGCGTCGCAGTTGGTATTCAATTCAACCGATTATGAAGCTTGGTCGTTTCTCCAAGTTTGTCTGAGCTATTATAAGTCAATCTCTGAACAGATTTTCAATGAAGGTATTGTGGCTTTCGATGAAAAGAAGTATGACAATGCTTACCAGGTTCTCGAGAAGGCGAATCAGGCCATTGTTGGCTGCAATAATACTAACCAATCACCCTTGTATGAAAGCAACACAATGAATTACAGGTTTATTACAGATACCATGGCGATTATAAATAAACTTTTCTAACAAAATATCTTACATTCTGGATATGGATAAGAACAGAAAAATCAGGATTATGGATTATTTTTATTATCCTGATTTGAACTTGTAATCTTTATCCTTCCACACTTATAATTTTTTGTATAACATATTTTTGCATGGAAATGTATGAATAACCTTATTCTATGAAACTTCTATCTCTCTCTCTCTCTCTCTCTCTCTCTCTCTTTTTAATCAAGTTATAGTTATTATTGATAATAATTATTAGGTAATGATCATTGCCCGTCTCAAGAATTTGATTTTCAATATGAAGATCGATGTTACATATACAAACTATTTATATATTACATTTTAACCTCTCTTCCAAGCAATTTCCAGTTTCGCCACTGATCCTTATCATGTATAAAATGGGTCATGGCTTCCACTGGTAATTTTAACCGAACCAAGGCTATCCATTGATTTACTTAGTCCACACTTGTATTCGAACTCCTTTTCAGATAATATCGAATCGAATCACCATTTTTCCGAAGAGTACAATCGATGAATAGTCATTTGAAAGAAATCATTTTTCCTTTGTTTTGGTGAGACCCTATAGTCTCACGAATAATGCTACGGACACCGAAAAAACTGCACCGAAATCGTGTACCGGCTTACGTGTAACACGCCTCTCATTTTTTTTATAATTTTTTTCTAGTGAACGGCCGTCCATCAAATTTGGAGGACCATTCACTCACATGGACGCCCGTCCATATTATATGGACGGGCGTCCATATACAAGGGACGGGCGTCCCTATTTAAAGGACGCCAGTCCATAAATAAATTATGAAAATAAAAAAAAAAAACTTTGGGGACGGCCGTCCATAAATTATGGACGGCCGTCCCTTACGTTTGGACGGGCGTCCATTCCTAATGGACGCTCGTCCATACTTTAAAAAAATATATATATATATTTGGACGGGCGTCCATTTCTAATGGACGCTCGTCCATTATTTTAGTTTCTACAAATTAAAGAAAAACTTTGCATGGGATGGGCGTCCGTAAGGAATGGACGCCCGTCCATTACTTACGTTTTTGTGAAATCTTTCCAGTGATAGCAATCTCATGCAGTATCTCCTGCACATCATCAGCCAATTTTTTGACGTCCTCCGACCAGTATAGTATGTTTGCATCCTGGCTGAAGTTCTGTAGCTTATCCTTATTCTCTTCATCGCTGCTGACTTCCTCGAAAATCTTAAACTCTTGCCTCCCCAAAAAAAACACAGTGAATGAAGACGAAGAAGTAGACGGGCGAAGTTCTGCACCTTCTTCACTTGCCTCCATGGAAACTTTATTGCATCCATTTTGATTTAACAGGTTAGAATTTCAAACACATTGACTTAGACTTTTAAAACACTACAGAAACATCATCATCTTTTATCTTCATCTTTATCTTTATCCTTAACCAATAGTGAAACCACTAAACCAAGGACTTAAAAATCCGGTGAACC